CCATTTTCCACACTGATTTTTAATCACCTTTCTCTAGTCCTTGCTAAACGTCACTTTCTGTATGAGATGAAGAAATTAGGAGATATTCTGTATGAGATAAATTTATCCAGTATAAATTTATGTACCTGTTTGCTCTATTTCTGTCTACAGTGTTTATAAGTCTTCAATATACTCTATAATGTACTTCTCTGTTTTGTTTATTGGATTTCTACTTCCTCTAGAATAAGTTCCATAAAGTAGGAACTTTGGTTTACTTTGTTCACTGTATTATCCTTGAGCTTAGAGTAGTGACTGACACATAATATTTATTTAATGAAGCTGGGAGAGGGGAAGGACTAGGTCAAATAGGGCCTTAATAGGCCATGGGAAGGAATTTGCATTTTATTAGACTGTTTATGTCTCATTGTCCACACACCTACAAGGGACAATCTACATCAGACTGAGATGTACACACACCTACAGCATCTACATCAGACTGAGATTCAAGGAGGTCTGTATTTTGAGAAATAGGTTAGTTCAAGGAGTAGGAATGGAGAAACAGGGAGAAGAGGTTCTTAGGCCTTTTAAAAGAATTTCTTTTCGTCTAAAGTTTTTCTGATTTCAGATATTTTACAATTTTAGGACTTAAGTATCTGTTAGAAAATAAATTTTTAAAATATTACAGAGGAAGTTAGTTCTGAAAAACTTCACCAGGGAAGTTTAAATTGCATTAATTATGGGTAGGGTGAAAAACTCAGCCACTGGAAAAGCAGCCTATATTTTAGATATGTTCTAACTTGCATAATGGAAGATATATTTAGACTTGTGGATTTATAGAATATCAGAAAATCGTATTTTAATTTCTTTACATAATTTGCCTAAAGCTCTTCCAGCTGTGCTGTACAAAAGAAATATAAAGCGGTATGTAGCAGCTTTTTTCCCTGAAGGTTCTCATGATCAAATGCTACTCTGCTAGTTTTTATTTGTAGCATCCTTTTGTACTTTTTTTTTTTTTTTGACAACTGAAAAATAAGTAAGCTAACTTTTTAGCTATAGATACCTGTCTAAGTAATATTTGTTTTCCTTTTTTAAGATAACCTGCCGAAATTTCATTGGGAAGCAGCTCAAGATTAATCCTCCAACAAGTGAAGAGAAAGATACAGGAAGCTGCACAGATTTCTGTAAAAAGCTTATCTATTCAGGTTGGAACCATTTTAGCTTGAAGGTTTTTTTTAAAGCAAGGTTTGCTGTTGTGTTCTGCATGTCAGATCCTCCATAATTAAAATGTTTTCCAATTCTCTTTCACAGGTTTATTGGACTGAAAATAACCCATTTGATATTTACCATCTTCTGTTGTTATAAATGTCATATAAGGGGAATTAAAACATATGTTTTGATTAGTTTAATCTGTAAGTTGAAGAAGGGAAAGGAGAGAAGGGGAAAGGAAAATTATTTGAAAAATAAGCATGGAAAAAATTGTTTTGCACATTTCCCCTGTTTTTATCTCACTCGGGAACTTCTCAAATTGACCTTTTACTATTTTCTTTCAAGCTGTGCCTTGACTTCCGTAATACCTCCCATAATCAATATAGATTGTTCTGTTGGCTATATCCTGGTCAAGTTGTAAGTCTTTTCGCTAGAGCACAGGAGAAGATGAGGGGACATCATGGCTCCTTTGCTCTTAGCTGAGAAGCCCCCTTGGAATATTTGGTCAGTGCAGCCTGTAGGAGAGGCAATAGAAAAAAGATGAATATGGAGATAATGCCTTCTCACAATTGCACTTTTCATGTGTCTCTGTTTCTGGTATAGGAAAGGAATGCAAATCTTCCCTTTGACATGTTAGGATTCTTTCATTTATCTATTGATTTTATGTATGTATGTCTGTATGAATATAATCATTCATTCATTTAGTGCATCAGTTAGGTGGCCATTCAGTCATTCAGCAAACATTACTGAGTGTCTACTGTGTGGTAAGTGCTGTACTAGGTCCTGAGATTACAAAGAGACTAAAGATTGAGTGAGGCTAAAGATTTATTACACTGGAATTTACAACCCATTGAAAGAGACTGATAAATAAGCCAGAGATTATAGTATCAGGTGATAAGATCTGTCATATTATGACTACCCCTGCTGCTTCTGCTGTAAGCAACAGTAAACAGCATCACTGTGCATGTAGTTTAGTGGAGCTAACGTAAAAAGGAAAAGGCAAAAACTGAGGTTAGGGAGGTTGGCAGGAGGGTCTTAGAAGGCAGGATAAAGAGATTCAGATTTACCTGGAGAGCTGAGTGGGGCTAGTTAAAAGGATTTAAAGAAGGAAATAAGTGATCATTTTTGTGCTTTTGACAGAACCTCAGGCAGCAGTGTGCGGAATCAATTGAAAGCATGCCGCATGGAAGCAGAGGAGTGGGTACGCCTAACTTGTGTAAAAGGCGTAATGAAGTCTTGGACTCAGGCAGCGAGAATAGAGGAGTAGACAGATATGGGAGAAAGGCTGAAGAAGTCCACAGGACTGTTTCTATCCTGGTTAGCCGTAGAAGGGAGGGGTCCAAGATGCCTTGGTTTCTGGCTTGGGTGGCTAGATAGATATCATGTCTTCACGCTACAGGGAAAGTGAAGGGAAGAGCAGGTGAGAGAAAGCTACTTTGAAATTACTGAGTTTGAGGTGCCAAGATGATAACTGAGTAGAACTATCTAGTATATGCTTAGATAGACTGGTCAGGCCCTCAGCAGATTTGTATTTTAATCATCAATATAGTGGTGGCGGTTGAAATCAGGGGCTTGTATGAGGTCACTCAGGGAGAGTTATGTGGAGTATAGACCTGAAGATGGCTTCACTTTGGAAGTTGAGTCATCCAGAATAGGCCATGCTATACAGTAGTAATAAACAATCCCCCAATCTTATTGCTTCCCACAAGGGAAAGTCCATTTTATTGCTCATGCCACTGTGTTCAATGGGGTTGAGTACTGAGCTGCTTCTCATCATAGGTTGATAGAATCTGCATCTTGACACAAGCTTCCATGATTGTTTCCAAGGCAGGAGGGATAACGCTAATTTACCCTCTAGAGGAGCCATACTGAGAGGATGGGCAGAATGGAAGGAGAGAATGGGCCCAAACACAGGAATGTTTATAGGTGGTAAGGGCAGAAGTTGAAGGTGTTCTCATTGGGTTCTGAAGATTTTCTTAATAAAGCAAGGGGTTGAGGGCATAGCCAAGGTTGCTAGGGTGGGAGATTTCAGGAGAAATGTGAGAGTAGCCTGGACCCTGAGGGAAATAAAAGGAAGACAGAAGGGCTTCAGAGCAGTGTGGAGGCTCCAGTTGAGTGAATTGGTAACCACAAACTTGTGGGTTTTACTTCTAATGATAAATCAAATTATCTTCTCATACTCATTAAATAATGGAGTTCTAATCAGGTTGTGATTTGTCCTGAGTATATGTTCTTCTTTTCTTTTCTTTTTTTTTCTTAATGTTTATTTTTATTTGAGAGAGAGAAAGAGAGTGAGTCCCAGCGGGGGAGGGGCAGAGAGAGAGAGAGAGAGAGAGAGAGAGAGAGAGAGACACACACACACACACAGAATCTGAAGTAGGTTCCAGGCTCTGAGCTGTCAGCACAGAGCCTGAAGCGGGGCTTGAACCCACGAGCTGTGAGATCATGACCCAAGCCGAAGTTGGATACTCAACTGACTGAGCCACCCAGGCGCCCCTATGTTCTTCTTTTCTTGATCATACCTGTCAAACCTCTGGAGATCCCTCAATTTGGGATCTATAACTCAGAATGTGATTTATATTATCCCTTCCGTCCTGAAAAGAATGGGCAACAAATGTGAGGAAATGTGTCAAAAATGCTTACTATCAAAAATGATGATTAGCACCTAAGGGCTAAGAAAAACATACCTAACAAAATTCTAGACCTGTGTGGCCAGTAGGTCTTACTGATGATGGATTCAATATGTCAGAAAAGCACTTTGCCTACTTGTTGTTAAACTTACATTTGGAAAGGCAAGATGTGGGTAGTGGAACAGAAAGGAAGGAAGGTAAAGTCAGGCTACCATGATTATTTGGGTTAATTCTCAGTGGTGGTGGAGGTATAGTCCATTTGAGCAATGACTACAGCAGGAATATAATCTAAAAAATATTGTAATGGCAGTAATAATGAATTGGGCCAGACACTATATTTAGCACATTATAACCATTAGCTTTTTAAGTTTTTGTAATCTTAAGAGGTAGATATTATTATGCTTACATTACAGATGAGAAAGTTAAATGTTACTAGTAAGTTAGGAACTATGATTCAAACCTTTGTCTAATTGCTCAGCCCATACGCGTTCCACTAAACTGCCTGGCCTGTTCACCATTTGTCTCCTCTCAGATTAGTCTCTCCTCTAAACTGATAGCACTCAAAAAAGTTTTGCCATATATCAGTGGTCATGGGGAAACGATACTTTATCCTGACTTATTGTAGTAGTATGGTAGTTTTTAGATGATCCTGCATACTAATTATAAGTTTTTCATTGACTCATTATCATTAAAATCTTGACATCAGACTTATAGCTCTTTATAACACTCTAGGACCTTTGTGACTAGGAGCATATTTTCGCCCACACTTTTGGGCTTATTTGACCGATTTTTAGGATGGTGATTTTTTTTTTCAGTGTACTGAACTTAGATCATTTTAACATGTTTATAAGCATGATGGGTCTTATGTATGTCCTCATAACATGTTTGCAATACTTTTGAAAGACCAAGTATACTCTTGATGGTTTCCACACCAGATTGCTGCTTTAGAACATCATAGATTTTCTTTTGGCATAACAGCATTGGGTGGTAATGCTTGATACATTTAATTCTTCAGAATAGACACTGTAATGCTCCAGTGCCTACAAACATTTGGTGTTCTCATTATTTAACAGCATTCTATTCTCCCTCTAACTATTTAATAATGCACATGTAATTTGGTATAGTCTCTGTAGGATGTAAAGAAGTGAGAAAACCTCACTTTATAGATTATTTTTTGTATGGATGAGTAACTTGCCTGCTTGTTAATCTTCACAGGGGAGATGACTCTGTGAATATGCCTTTTATTGTAGCTGTTTTTGCATTCTGTCTAGGATCTGCTTCTTGAGTTTTGACCTTATTGGTATTTAAGTTATCTCTGATAGGGTTCTTCAGTCTTCAGGTATGTTGGAACTTTCAACCCTTTGGCAGGTGTGTTTTATTACAGCCTCTGGGCATTTGGACTGATAAGATCATATGTGTAGAAAGCAGCTCAATCTTCTGTCACTCCCAGGGGTTCTTCCTTGGTGAACCTATCTCTCAGGAGTCATTGGTGCTTCAGTTTTAATGAGTACATCAGTACAATAAGAGACACAGCAATTCTTTTTTTTTTCCTCCGTCCTCTTCCTCTCCTCTTCTTCCTTTTCTCCTCCTTCTCCTTCTTACCCACCCTCCTCCTCTTTCTCACCCTCCTCCTCTCATTCTCCTTCTTTTTCTTCTAACCTATTTCAAACTGTTGAGGTTATTAGTGCCTTTGAAATAGTTTCTTGAGTTATTCATGGAAGTCTTCAGAGAGGAACTCCCACTTGAGACGGGGAAGTATGGACAAGCCTCCGAAGCTAATGATGTGTCTTCATTGCTTTCACTAGTTATCGCATGTTGATAGCACAGAAACACCAGCAGAACCCTAGTTAGAGCACAGGAAAAAAGGTCTCCTAGGGCTCGAAAAAAAGAAAAAAAACCCAACAAACTGAAATGTAGTTTAGGAAAAAAAAAACAAGGAGGAATGATTTATAAGCAGATATTTGATAAAAAGTGGAAGGATGATTTTATGGAGGCCTCACATTTTGAAGATTGCAAACATCTCCTGTTCCTCCTGTCCTTCTGATTGTCCCAGATAGCAGATGCCTTTGCAAATTTTTATTCCAGAATGAAAGCTCCATGAGAGCAAGGCATGTGTTTGTTTTGTTCACTTGTATCTCTTCCATGACTGGCAGAGTGCCTACTACTGGTAAGTGCTCAATATATATTTTAAAAATATATGACTAAGACAATATGTAACTGCCATTTTATTGAATGCTTACTCCCTGCCAGGCACTATGCTAGACACTTGACACAGGTTAAAACAGTAATACTCAGAGGTAAATATTATCATCTCAATTTTAACAGAGATTGAAAAGTAAGGCCTAGAGGAGATAACTGTCTTAAAATAATATTACATGAAAGCTTACAGCTTCCACCTTTTCCTTTTCCTTTGCTTTCTTAACTTCTTTCCTGGAAGGAAGCTCTTCCCCTTTCAGTCTTTAAGGAGAAAAAGATAAAAGCAAGCTCATGAATTCTTGTAGGAAAAACACAGAACAGGAACCTTACAATCTTTAGGGCGTTATGTGTAAGAGTAGGGGTCGGAGGCATGCCTTGTCTGGATCATGCAGGACTGTGCGTGGGTAGAGGAATGGGGAACTGAGGGAAAAAAATGGTGGGCGCAGGACAAAGTGGACAAGAGGGTGAAATTGGTAGGGTAGAAGAGAGCTCCTGGGGAGTTAATAAGAGCTCTGTCACCTAAGTGTTAGATTCTCTTCAATGTGTGGTAGGCAAGAAGAGTGAACTTCCTGGGGGGACAAGTGGTTCTCTCAAGGTGGCCATGTGCTGGGTTTGACCAGAACCTCCAGGATTTCTAGACATTTCCATCTACTTCGTTGTATATTGAAAGATGTCTCTATGACCATAGAACGTAACTGTGCTACTATTTCCATCAGGACCTCCCTGGGCTCACGAGGACCCCAGGCTTCTTTTCTTAGGCTTATTTATGTTCTAGTCTCAAAGGTTTCTGTAGTCAAATTAGCAGCCCTCAAATCTGGGTCATTGCCAGTTACACAAGATGTGATGCCCTCTGGCAAACTATCCAGAAGAGGCACTGGATTTGAAGAGTGGTTGTCTCTCATGTCTTCTAAGGGCTTAAAACAAGTTGATGCCCTCAAGTTTACTTTTCCTCCTTTGTAAAGTGTGAGTAATAGCTATCTCTACTAATTTGTAAGGTGTTATGAGAATCAACTGAGATTAAGATCCATATAAGTGATTATTAATAAAGTTAATACCAGCCATTTAGCTTTGAAAATATTTATCAAGCACATATCACACAACAGGCACTGTTATAGGTCTGGGTTGATAACAGCAGACAAAATGGACAAAAATCTCTGCCCTCATGGAACTTGCATTCTCGTGGCAGGAGACAATCAATAAACAAACAAAACACATCAGTAGATGATGAATGCAGTGGAGAAAAAAGAAATGTGGAGATTGGGATCACCAATTTAAATAGGGTGATCAAGGAAGGCCTCCTGAGAAATTAACAGTTAAGCAATAACCTTAAGGAGCTGAGGATGCAAGCCATGGGGATATCTGAGGGAAGAATGTTCTCGACCAACGTGAACCACTGGTAGGGGTTTGCAGAAAATCCCTTTGTATTGCTTTAGTTTTTTTCCAGTGAGGCAGGAAGCAAGGTCATTGACCTGGAAAGGACAGGGAAGAGGTAATTCCTAACTTTTTTCTTTGCCACATAGCCAATTGACCACTCTTCTGTCACTTCTAACATTGGAATGTTCCCTGTGTCCCTCCCTCATTTCCATTGCTACCACCTTAGTTGAATTCAAATCACAATATCTGTGGTGTAGCTTCAGTCTCTCAGCTACCAACCTTAATCTTTCTTCTCCTTCTCCTTCTACTCCTCCTCCTCCTCCTCCTCCTCCTCCTCCTGCTCCTGCTCCTTCTCCTTCTCCTTCTCCTCCTTCTCCTTCTCCTTCTCCTTCTCCTTCTCTTTCTCCTTCTCCTTCTCCTTCTCCTTCTCCTTCTCCTTCTCCTTCTCCTTCTCCTTCTCCTTCTCCTTCTCCTTCTCCTTCTTCTTACAGTACTGTAGGTATTTTTATTGAAAAATGTCCATCCTTAGGAAGGCCAGGCTGGCACTGGAATGGTGGCAGCAACAGGCCGGGCCCCGGGAGGTGATATTCCACAGCCTGGTGGCTTTGGTTTATTAGCAGCAGCCACCAGGCAGGCCGCCACCCTCCTCTTTCTATTACAATCTGCTAACTCTTCCTAAAATACCAGTCTCTTTTTGTTTGTCCTGCTCAAGACCCTTCCTGTACTCCTTATTAGAAAGGATGAAGGCGACTTACAGAGGGAGGGCTTCAGGACTCCAGAAAACCCCTCCTTGTTCAGCAGGACTGGCCATGTCATCTCACCGAGCCCTGACTTGCCATCCTGACTCCTGCTTCCATACCTATCCTTGCACAGACCAGTTCTGTGACCCAGGAGAAACCACCGGACTTTCTGTGCCTTATTTCCCTCCTCTGTAAAATAAGGATATCATGGTATGTAACTTTTAGGGTTGTTTTTAGGATTTGATGAATCTATCAGAGTAAATTATATAGAATAGTTCCTGGTATAGTATAAGTAAATGCTCAATCAACCTCAGCTATTCTTATTCTAACTACCTCAACCCCCTTGCCTCCTTCTTCCTAATCAAATCTTTGCTCTCCTTTAAGACACAACTGACATATCTTCTCTTGCATGAAGTCTTTCTTGCACATCCTCTCCTCCCTATGCTGATCTCTCTTCTCTTTCCCGCGTTTTGGCACATAACCAAGAACTCCCTGTAAATATGAGTCTAATACTCTAGGGTCAGAATGCTTCATCTCTTCAGCTAAACTGTGAACTCTCAAGGGCAAAGGTAATACCTCTTAGCCTCCTGTGGCCCCATTGCCTTGCAAGTTGCTGTACTATCAAGTCCTCAGATTTTACAGGGGCCGTTCAACTTGTTGAAGAACTAAATTCCTTTGTTATTTTATCAGAAGCATGGATTCCTTCTTTTCTGTGTGCCCGTTTCACAGTGTATGGCTGAAAATCTGCAGCCTGGTTCCTGACACCGTCACTTCTTCTCCGGGGACCTCGTGGCAACTCTCTGCTCTTTGTGGCCATTTTTCAGTGCTGTTTTTAGTTCCACTCCCTTTTATGGCCTCATCTTCCTTTCCTCTGCACCCTCCAATATTAGAAACCTGTCTTTCCCTTCTCTTAAGAGAGCACTTACCCATCCAAGCTTCTTTGTTTCCTCCTTTCGTCTCTTTCCCAAGGCACCTCTGCTTTGAAGAGGCTGCTGAAAAGGAGTAGATTATTTCATCTTTTATGATCAGCAAAAGAAAAAGTAGGAGGCTTCATAAGGAAAATTGGCAAGATCTAAAGTTATTTGCATTTCATAGGAATCAAAAGTTTTCTAAGTTTTTTTTTCTTTTTTTAAAGAACTTTCAAATATACCACAAAAATTTGATCTGAACGTTGAAACACCTGCTGCAGACCTGGGGGCTTTGAATTTAGCAGCTTTAGTTTGGGACCAAGACATTCTCTGAATTAGAAAGTCTTTTGCTACTAGTTGGCTTGCTGCAGCATTTCATCCCCCGGTATTCTTCTCTTTCCTTTCAGAATATAGCCACGCCAAAGAGCTCATCTGTGTGCCCGTGGATGTGACAGACACTTTGCGATGTTTTAGACAGACTTTGGAAAAATCCAAATATGATAGCAGATCAATCCGACACAGCAGAAAATTGCTTTCGTTATTCCTTGCACAGACACAAGGTAAAATCCTTGCTCTATACCCCTTGCTTTTTATTGAAGGGAGAACACGACCCTGTGGCTCTACCAGATTCTGCCGTAGACCCCTCCTTTCCCCCACTTACATGCCCACTCCCTGCTGCTCCTCACTTTCTTCCTCTTGTCTAGTGGATCACATCTTCTCCCTCACAGTTTATTCCTAACCAAAGACTGTTTCACTCATCTGCTTTCATGCTTTCTGTGAAACTGGCATACTCCTTTGAGTAGATGCAAGAAGAATATTCGTTAATTTTTTGATTCTGTACATCTATGTTCTTACCCTTCTCTTTGCAAGTATGGTGCTATAGTCATTTAAAACATTTTTTTCGTAAGTAGATGAATTGATTCATACTGAATTAACTAGAACTCTACCAAAACCCTACTTTATCAGTGTCAAGGAAATAGATGCATTTTAGCATAAGCATCAATAAGGTTTCTTATTAATACCATAGATTTTGATCTTAGAGATTTCTTTTAGCTCAAAACAAGATATTCACTATCATTGGTCACATCACATTTATTTGTTTCCTGCCTCCTCAACATGTATTGATTTGTGAGCCCAATCAAAGCAGGGCTTTGAGTGGTTAATTGGTAACTCCAGAGGGGAAGAATGTACTCAAATTTAGGTGGGGAAAAATCTTGACTTATGTATGTTTGGGTTATTAAAAATGTGTTAAAGGGGCGCCTGGGTGGCGCAGTTGGTTAAGCGTCCGACTTCAGCCAGGTCACGATCTCACGGTCCGTGAGTTCGAGCCCCGCGTTGGGCTCTGGGCTGATGGCTCAGAGCCTGGAGCCTGTTTCCGATTCTGTGTCTCCCTCTCTCTCTGCCCCTCCCCCGTTCATGCTCTGTCTCTCTCTGTCCCAAAAATAAATAAACGTTGAAAAAAAAAATTTAAAAATGTGTTAAAAATACTAATATATGTTTACAATCCTTGCTGTTTAAATTTATTGGAATAATAAAAATAAACTTCAAGAATAAACTTAAATTAATAATCTTAAAATAACTATATTTTAGTTATTAAAAATAGATTTAAATGTATACCTAATATGCTAATATTTACTGAACTGATCTTTCAGAAATTTGACCAATTTTATTTTCTTTACAATCACTGACAGAAGTTTTACTTATGTGTGTATATATGTGTGTATGTATTTTTTGTTGTCGCCCCCACTTCCCTCCCCAAAAGCACTTGCCATAGCGTGTACCCACAGGTTTTGGTTGTATTGTCTATAGACTCATATTAAATCAGCTCTCCATATCATGTCTCAATTTCTTTCAATTATGGCATATATTAATAATGGCTAAGGGCATGAATAAAAACAAGCAAATACAATTCCTAAGAGTGGATTAGACCTGTTCACCCTGAACCTCACCTGCTATTAATTCTCAGCAGTTTATCCCAGTCCTCGGGCTGCAGACTTCAAACTTCACATCGGCTTCTCTTTCTCTGCAGCTTTCGACTACTTCCCCTAGAATAGTTTTCCTTTTTTTCCTGTGTGTTCTCTGATCTTATAAAGAGACTGATTCTTTTCCATTTTCCCCCCTTAGGTCAGAACTAACTATGTGTTCCTTCTATCCCAGAGGTCTCTACCCCAGAGGCAAACTAACATCTTACTGTCAGAAGCCCTTAAAAAAAAGGCAAACCCAAACCGTGTATCTTCCACCAATCCCCACGAGAAGCAAAGCATTATCTCAACATCACTTTCTGGCACACTGCCCCTCCATAGTGTTCTTTACGAAATAACATGAGCAGAGAGCCTGTCCACACATACCTGGGCTCCTCAGAAATGATATTAGATGCTAAATTTAAGGAAACGATGTCCCTCAAACTGCAAAGAAGTCTCACATATATGCAGAATTTTTCCTTTTCTTTCCCTGTCCATTTCCTCTACCTTTCCCCTCCTCATCACTTTCCCTTCTTTCTCCTTTTTGAATTTCTTTAAAAATGTTTTTTTTTCCCATGACTTTAGGAGATAAAGGAGGAATAAACAATGAGAAATTTACCACTGGAAAGGTGGAGTTTTGCCTGGGGACGGAAGAGATGCATATGCCAACACCCCCTGACCTCTCTCAGGAACACTTTAGAGTTTTCAGTTCAGTGGAAAAAAGTAAACTTCCCTATTCACAACTCGGACTCGTAATTTCCTCTTATTATGAAACTATTGGTAAGATTAGTGTGATCTTCTGCATTAATGTTGAGATTGCATCTGGGCCTGAAATGCTACCTTTAGAAGTCAGATAAGAGAGGGGCACCTGGGTGGCTCAGTTGGTTAGGCTTCCGACTTTGGCTCAGGTCATGATCTCATAGCTCGTGATTCTG